GAGAGAGAGAGAGAGAGAGAGAGAGAGAGAGAGAGAGAGAGAGAGAGAGAGAGAGAGAGAGAGAGAGAGAGAGAGAGAGAGAGAGAGAGGGAAGCTCGTTGATGAACGGAAGAAAGGTACCTACAAATCTGTGAGAGAAATGCTTCTCGGTGTTCTGCTCACGCATAGGGTAAGCACATTAAGTTTTTGTTCTATGTGCAACGTGATCTTTCTTGAATGTGTGTTTACTATTTAGGTTGCGTTCAGTTTTTTCCTAGGGTGAAGTTGGATCTTTCTTATAGGCTAGCTTGGAATTTTGGCACTCTTCTTTTGGTAGGTGCCTTGTTCCCGCCTAGTTTGAGGACTAGCCTGAAACACTTTAAACACTTTCCGATAAAGCTTGTTGATTAGTGTGAAGATGTGTACACTGGTTGAGGAACAGCAGCAAATCGGACATTAGTTTTGGGGGTCTTGGAAGCCTTCTTGTGATAGGGCAGTGAAATAGAGCTCAGTCAATTACTATTTGTTTTCCTGTGGCACTTGATTTGCTTATCTTTGGTAGGCGCCCTGGGATGAACCGCTATGTTGCCACGTACGGAAGGGCAATCAACTTCCGTATTGTTCACCTGGGTTGAATGCAAGCTTGCACGCTTCAGGCCGTGAGATAGAGCTTGTTGTACACCGAACGAGGAAAGTAGCGTGTTGATAGCGGAGTGGACTGGAAGTAATGATAAGCTTTTATTCAATCCAGCGACTGGGGAAACAATTGATTTACGGCACTAGCCGTCTCCTCGTAGTACGCAGTGGAACTGATGCACAGGAAAAGAACTTGGTCAGCAATGGGTGGAGCCGTAGCAGAATAGCAGACCTGTTTCCTTTGTGAGAAGGTCGTTCGTAGGGTTTGCGCATGCGCGGTGGTTGAAGTGGGAGTTAAGGGACGCTGGACCCGCTTTCCAGCACAAGCCAAAGCTGGGTAATGGCCCCAGTATCTCCGGGTAGAATTGTGAGGACCCCGGCCTCTTCAATATTTTGGAATGAAGTGATGAATTCTTATTAACAGTAGGATTGGCGGAGAGCTACCGAATCAAAGAAAAAGAAAAAACAAAAGGAAAAAAAAAGGCAAAAAAAAGGCACTCGAGGATTTGGTGATCATTGGAGTTCCGCTTCAATAGCTCAGAGAGCAGTTCGTGACTTTCTGGAATCTCAATGAGGTTCTGCATTCTCAATGTTTTTGCTGGAAGTACTCAGCAAAACCTCACTGGTTTTTTGCGGCTGCTTATACTACTAGACTTTATTGAAGTTTATTATAGTTGGATTACTAGCCGTTAAAAAAAAAGAAAAAAAAAAGCACATTTTATGATTTTACAGCGCTCATAAAAAAAAGAAGAAAAAAAGCACGAATACTGACGATGACGGAGTGCTTGGAAGGCATGGGCCGGCGCACGGCCATAAAAAATGGCTATTAGCCTTATAGGATGGCATGCCATTATGCGACTGCATCTAGCAGCAAAGGCAGTCGAATACAGTGTCCTAACCAGTTTCACACTATTTAGCACATACATTGCACCAGCAAGATGGCAGGCTTTAGCTCATTTGCCTTTCCTTCTTTCTTTTTCGGGAAATTTTTGGATATGCCCCTGAAAGTTCGATTTATTTGTGGCATGCCCCTCCAAAGTCCGACTTACCCTGTCGTGCCCCTGGGGCCTCTGAACTTTCCTGCAGCCCCTGTCGGTGAGGGGTGCAACTTTCCAGCATGCCCCTGTCGCTGTTGGTGGCACTCGCAGCTTTTACCCTAGCCCTGGGAGGGGACCTACCGGGGCATACTGGAAATTTGGAACCAGTTCCGGTAGGGGCATATTGAACATATTTCAGGCCCAAATGACACCAGGTTGTGTTTGGGAAACTTCAATCGTTGTCAGAGGGGTGCGATGGGGTACATTGCCCATCAGAGGGGCACACTGCAAACATATCTGTACAATTCGGAATTTTTAGGGTTCGGAAGTTTTAGAGTAAAAATCAGAGGACGTATTTTCATGAGTAGGTTCTTTGTTTGGAGTTCACCTTCTTCACCCGAATACAACATTGGGTCACTATAGCTGCATTTGGGTGTTTTTCAGTCTAGATACAGCTATACTGACCATACATTGTATTCGGGGGAAGAAGGTAGTCGTATTTGGGTATAGCATTCGTTTATATCTTAGGGCATACTCACACTAGGCCCTCAAAATCGCAAAATCGCAATCGCAAAATCGCAAAATCGCAAAATCGCAAAATGAGTGGCCAGACTGAGTCCTTGTAACCGAAGCACTCGATCTGGCCGCTCGCTTTGTTATTTTGTTATTTTGAGGGCCTAGTGTGAGTATACTCTTAGATAGCTTATCTGGTATGCTTTTTTTATTTTTTTTCTGATTCTTTTCAAGAGGGGACGGGCTCCGCTTCTTGCGCGAAGCTGGAGACTTCACGGCCTCTGAATCTGCAACCGCTCATATTTCTTTCCTTGTATTTTAAAATAATTATTAATTTCTGATAGCAGTAGTAACCACATCGCCTTGTCTTGGGGAAAAAAAAAAAAAAAGATTTTAAATACCAATGGCCAGAATCGGAGAATCTGTGTAAGTGGCGTGCAGTGGATCGAGACTTTAAACAACAGAGTAACCAACTAGGGAAATGGATCCAGAGCGCTAAGCAGACCAGGTTCGTGCTAATAGCATACAAACTATTACAAAGTGGCATTATAGTACAAAAATAAAAATAAAATGCAGATCAGAGTCAAGCTATTGAAAACATAGGACAATAGACAGTGTGTCCGTCTCGTTGTGGACTTCTACAATGAGATATTGATTGTACAAATGAGCAGTTCATACGGTGACTCAAACGGTCGCCCCAAAAATAAGAAATAAATTAGACACAAGGTAAAATCGTTTATCAAAACGACTCTCTGGGCATTGGTCACGACTCTCTCTGGCCAGCCGAAAGAAACCAGTTTTCTGGTGACCAACCCACATCGTTGCGATGTCTCAGCAACACAAAACGAGGGTTGCGCTCGTTATAGGAGTTAACCCAACACCTCACGACACGAGCTGAGGACAGCCATGCAGCACCTGTATGAAGTCAAAGTACATCTGTTACGAGGAGTTTCTTTCATATGTCAAGGGCTGGTAAGTTTTTGCGCGTTGTATCGAATTAAACCACATGCTCCACCGCTTCTGTGTAAGTGTTGCGCAGTGGATCGAGACTCTAAGTATTAAACAACAAAGTAACCAACTAGGGAAACGGATCCAGAGCGCCAAGCCGACCAGGTTCGTGCTAATAGCATACAAACTATTACAAAGTGGCATTGTAGTACAAAAATAAAAATAAAATGCAGATCAGAGTCAAGCTATTGAAACCATAGGACAATAGACAGTTGGCTCATCTTTTTTTTTTTTTTTTTTTTTTTTTTTTTTGTTCGTTTAAGGGCCCAGTGCCCAAGGCTTCCCTATACTCTTAAGAACTACAAAGGGCCCAGCGTGACAACCCGTGTTGGGCCCAGCGAAAATATGTTCGGAGGGCGACGGGCGGAGCGGGACTGACGGCGAGCGGGACTGACTGCGGTGGCGAAGGGCGGCGCGGGAGCGCGGCCGAAGAGTTTTGGGAGGCGGTGCGCCGGTCGGCTACCCCAGGCGAATAAGGGTGTGCCGTTAATAAGGGTGCGTGCTGTTTCGCGACGGCACCGCAGGCACCGCCGTGTGCGAGTGCGAAAGAGCTGTGTGAGTGCGGAAATGCGGTATGGTGCCGAGCGCTGCCGTGTGCGATCGCAAAAATGCGGTCCGCTACCGAGTGCTGTCGTGTGTGACCGCGAAAGCGCGGTGGTGTGTGTGTGTGTGTGTGTGTGTGTGTGTGTGTGTGTGTGTGTGTGTGTGTGTGTGTGTGTGTGTGTGTGTGTGTGTGTGTGTGAGAGAGAGAGAGA